TCACATTTAAGAATACCCTATAATAAATTAAACGGATGCCGTTTGTTTTGTCTCAAGCACGATTCACGATATCAAAAGCCCAGAAGATCGATGTCAATAACTTTTCACATCTTGCATCAACCACGGATTCTGTGCGCCTGACAGAATGTGCTCCCAAGTTTGTTTGCTACATGTATATGCTGATCAGTGGTTCGTGCTGCACGGAGATGTCGCCTTGGCGCATTGAGTGAAATGACAATCCGTCAGATTTCATTCGGAATCCCCGCTGCTCTCACGGAAATTACAAACATTTGCATTCATTTTCGCTCCCGTCGAGTCTCAGCAATGCGCCTGCACTTGTATCAATCAGTCACAGCTTCTTCTTCCTGTCTATGTCGATAACGGACTGCATGGTGGTCTAGGTCACTGCGCTTATCGCAACTTACTCGGGAATAGAGCAGTAATCGAATTTTCTATTATATACAAGTGATTGAGTAAGAGGCCATTGATTTTTGCAATGGCGAGGCATGACACAATTGTAGCGGCGGCTTTTTCTGGCATGTCTGCGTAAATCCGTCTTCATGAGTGCAAGCTGTTTGTCGAGTTATTCTACCTTGTTTACTATGTCCTCCAATGTTTTATCATGCCTTTTCTTCTGCGCATGTAACGTGGTCAGTGTTGCATCAGCCGATTCCCGCACCAGGTTCACCTTGGGTTCCACACTCAACTGGCCAGTTGCTGGTGTCAAACGCTTGAATCGAGTCGCCCCTGCTGTTAGACAGTGGGGATATCATATCTTCTTCCTCTAGGGGGCTCGTCCGCTTGAATCGGATCGGCCCTGCTCGTCCCTTAGGAGTGCATCGAAAGATGGATGGTTTTCCGGGAGCGTTGGGAAAATGGGAAAGGTGATTGAGCTAATGAAATGATGAAGGAGAAGAAGCACCGGACTGCTTCATACTGGTTAAGACGCGCTTGATACCGTACGTTCTCAGGTCACGTGTAACGCTTGAACCGGCCAAAGCGCATGACCCATCACGACATTCGTTCTAGAAAGCGGATGATAAGAAGAAAAGAAAACTCCGCCAACTAGACTACTCTGATGAAAAAGCAGTCTAACCCAGGTTTAAACAAACACGCTGTGGAGCCAGTTGCTAATTCTCACCCTGTGATGTACAAGATTGATAGCTATTCATTGCTCTACTCATTACTCCCTTGTTGTAATATTCCAGATGCTGTACACATACGTCAATTAGAATAAATACATGTCGCTTGTTGTGCTGTGCTGAATTCTGAATTTCTAGTTCGTCCGGTTATACCAAAATACGTCCGGAACATAATTCTCACATTTTGCGTCGGAATTTGAACAGTTCATCATGCCTGCCGAAACGGAACCATTAAGCGTAAATTCAGCTGCCCGAAACGCAGACGATTATTCGTAATGGTTCGACATGTGGTGTCTTGCAAAATCTGATATTGATGACTGGCAAGGAGGCGTACACGGTTTTAAAGAATTTATTATATTCTGATTCTCCAAACGATTGTTCCTACAATGTACTGAAGTAAGATGCTCTTCAGCACTTCAAATCCATTAACTTCGTAGCACCCGAAAGAGCTTGGTTCAATATGTTGACCCGCTCCCATTCGCAATCGGTTTGTGATCTCGTATTACAGCTGCGGACAAAGGCACCCAATGTGACTGCGCTGCCCTATTGGCAGGCCAACTGTGTGAGAGGATCATTGCCGCCATTCATCTGCACGGATTACAGCAGAGGCCGAAGCTTTGTCGAGAGAGAAAATTCAACCTATTCGGAAAATATGTGGTTAGTATGGGGATGTGAATCATGTAACGAAGACTGAAGGAGCAGTGTTGTTAAATTACTATGAAAGAAATAATTCCAGGGTGCAAATGACAACAAATTCAAACAACGAACGAATTCTCGTGCCCCATATCACTTCACAGTTCGTAAAACTAATCCGGTGTTTTAAAAATTTGGGAAGTGTGAATCTTGTGGGCGAAATATTCCAGATAATCATGCCCTCACAGACAAGCGAAGTGTTNATCGGATCGGCCCTGCTCGTCCCTTAGGATTGCATCGAACAATCGATTGTTTTCCGGGAGCGTTAGGATAATGGGAAAGGTGATTGGGATAATGAAATGATGGAGGAGAACAAGCACCGGACTGCTTCATACTGGTTAAGACGCGCTTGATACCGTACGTTCTCAGGTCACGTGTAACGCTTGAACCGGCCAAAGCGCATGACCCATCACGACATTCGTTCTAGAAAGCGGATGATAAGAAGAAAAGAAAACTCCGCCAACTAGACTACTCTGATGAAAAAGCAGTCTAACCCAGGTTTAAACAAACACGCTGTGGAGCCAGTTGCTAATTCTCACCCTGTGATGTACAAGATTGATAGCTATTCATTGCTATACTCATTACTCCCTTGTTGTAATATTCCAGATGCTGTACACATACGTCAATTAGAATAAATACATGTCGCTTGTTGTGCTGTGCTGAATTCTGAATTTCTAGTTCGTCCGGTTATACCAAAATACGTCCGGAACATAATTCTCACATTTTGCGTCGGAATTTGAACAGTTCATCATGCCTATACAAACGGAGCCATTAAACTTTAATTCAGCTGCGCGATTCGCAAACGATTATTCGTAACGGTTAGACATGCGGTGTCTTGCAATATCTGATATTGATGATAAGGAGGATTACACGGCTTCAAAGAAGTTATTATATTCTGATTCTCCATACGATAGTTCCTACAATGTGCCGAAGTAAAATGCTCTTCAGCACTTCAAATCCATTAACTTCGTAGCAACCGAAAGACCTTGGTTCAATATGTTGACCCGCTCTCATTCGCAATGGGTTTGTGATCTCGTATTGCAGCTGCGGACAAAGGCACCCAATGTGACTGCGCTGCCCATTTGGCAGGCTAACTGTGTGAGAGGATCATCTGCACGGAGCTTGTCCAGGGAAGTTCGATGGGTTAAATATCATACTCCCGCATACGGTGTTCTAGGCATTCTCGGGAGCGGCCACGATTAGTTGAATTATCACAGGGACTCAAATAATACTACGAGTGATTCGTGCACCGAGATCAGGGTGCAAGTGACAACAAATTCAAACCTGGAGCGAATTCTCGTGCCCCAAATCACTTCACATTTCGTAACTCTAATCCGGGGGTTGAAACATTTGAGAAGTGTGAACCTTGTGGACGAAAACATTCCAAATAATCATGCCCTCACAGACAAGCGAAGTGTTGTATCTCCGGTAAAACGGTACACACTCAACTTGTCTGTAAGTCCAGAAAGTGGGTGTTGAGACGTACCAAGTTAGCGTCAATACATTTGGTCAAATTTGACCGGCACACATGCGGTTTCGAATGCTAATAAATCCTTTGCAGCTGATCTTACCTGAAGAACACCATCTACATAGAACGTAAATTGATCACCCGAATGTTGTATTGTGCCACCCAAACAATTACGAGGGTTGAGAGACTGCCCAGTTCTAGTCAGGTGCAGGCGAAATGCCAGGGTTGGGCCCGAACCGCGAAACCTCCGACCAGTAAGTTGGCGCCCCAACCACTGAGCTGTATCGAGCTCTCTAGAGATAATGTCCTCACACCAATATGGAGCATCAGCTACATGTAACATGACTGGACCGGAGTGAGTGATTCGCTTCTGTCGTTTTTGTAGCACGACCAGTCGGGGCACAACAGGATATGTTATGTTTCATGCGACTTGCTCAACCTTATGTCTCCTATTGTCGGAGGCCATAGACAGCTTTCATGTTAGTTAACCTGCAACCTATGGAAACAAAATGCCAATTCACATTTAGCTTGTCCGGGGAATTTTGATTGGGTGAGATATCACGCTACTTCATATGGTGTTCTAGACGTCCTCGATATCGGCAACGTTTGGCTAATTTACTCTTGTAACACAAATAATATCACGAGCAATATGTACACTAAGAGAAATGAACCAAACATCATTGCAGAAAATTCAAAACTTAGTTTACTTTACAATCAAGTTGACATAGACCAGTATATACGAAACATTTCTTCGAGAATTTTGAGTCCCCCGAAAAGATGTAGTTAATGTGCGAATGAGAGTGTCTAACTAGCAGGAAGGTCCAAATCCAGAATGTAACCCTATGATGGTCGGAACCAACCGAGACCCCAAAACTCCACCAAATGAGAATAGAAAAGCCGGCAAGCATCCAGGCCAGTCAATCATTCAATCAATTCAGCAAAAGACGACGAGCGGTCATGCATGCCACAGAAGCCCGACTGAATGTGATTAGCGTTCAGGCATCTTTTAGAAACAGGATTGGTGTTGATGACCGTTTACTAAACGCCCGTCAGACTAGCTGTAATAATGATAGAAACGGCCCTCTAAATAGTGCGCGGCCCCCGTAACATTTGCGTTCGCCCGCAATCACTTGCTTAGAATTTCTGTGTTTCTGTTCAAAAGTGATACGGCCACCCAAAATTTCGAGTCAACGATGACGTACGTGCAGTCGTACATGCAGTACGACAATCGTAGATGGCTCTAGCCAGTACAACTAGTTCTTCTACGACATGAGTGAGGTAGTTCAAGTGTAATGAATATAATAAATGAAAATTAATAATTCGGGTGTGATACCCTGGAACCCAAATAGAAGCACAACGTCTGGGTACTTGCTCAATTATAGACAAGAGCGGTTNGTGTTTGAGTCGACAGACGACACAATAATCTTTTGCCTGTGTCGGCCGACTGGCCTAATTTTGATCGTTTTTTGCACCTGACGTGCACTGGTACGTTAGATATGTGGAGGCGTCTTGATGAGTCCGCAAGCCCGGGAATCCCGACGGTTTCACCTAAATGCTTCTGGTTTTTACCGAACAATATTTGGACGGCTAGCTTGATGGAAATACACAAACCGTATTTCGCGACGATGGCAAATTACGATACGGAACAGCTTTAATTCATTTTATTTTGACAAAATCAGGCAACATGGGCGTGTCTGTTAGGAACAGATGTTACGGACAGAGTCGATGAGGGTTTCAGCCTCGTATCCGGCTTTGCACAGCTCCATCAAATGAGTTGTATGCTGGGCTACCTCGGGGACCTGAAGACAGATAGATAACAGGATCTCAGCTAGGAAGTCAATCCAATCAAGGAAGCGAATGATTCACCACATAGGTGAAAGTCTAAGGAGCTTACATTTTGAGCATGGGTTTGTACTGGTGACTGAGAGTACTTCCAAACGAACAATAACGTGTGTTCACACAAGATTTCTCCTAACCATACCCCAAAGGCTGCAGTTTTCTCGTGAAAACCTGGCCATTATGCTAAACAGTGGGGAGATTGCCACTGAGGCACACTGAAAGTCAAGTGGATATTAGGTCCGCGATTAAAACTGGTATTTGTGAGAGGGGTTGGTGAGTATCGATATATCGAAATTCTGGACATTTCGAAGCACTTTGATATCAACTCGCACGATGCTAGCAAAGAATACGCGAAATTTTTCAGCTACGTTGCGGATGAGGGAAATTGTGAACTCTACGAAACAAAATAGGTAGTAAAACTATGACCGGTTTCGCCCGTCTTGAGGCTCATCGGGTAGTCGCAGTCTACTGGAACCCTACGGATTTTGTCGAATGTTCCCCCTTTCGAACGAATTTGGCTTTGACAGGGGACACGAGTGATCCGCCAATAATGTTTGGCTTCCACTGAATGAACATGTAGAACACAAGGCCGGTGGCATTTTCTGATGATATTTCTAACCATTCTCTATCTGTTTTGTCCCAAAATTCGTCACATGATTTTAAAGCGTTGATATCCGCTTCTGGTCAAAAGCATGGCTTTCTTGCTGATACTGGTAGGGTTGGGTGCATTATTCCAAAATCAGATCTAACTGCAGTCTACTCCAGTTCCGCGATAGTGCCTACAGATTTTAACATTCGCGGTAGCACTGAACATTCCGTATCTCTAGTTGGTAGTTGCACGATCCCTGTGAGGTTACCTATAAGTTGCCGTATCGATTGTAATTTTTTGCTTATAAGTCGGAACCGTCGATTATCGGATTCAAACTTCTACGCTCGCTGCGAACCCGTAACACCTTACCGACTTATGTGAATGAGAATGAAATCAAGCAACTGATTCCTTAATGTCCTAAGCCTACAGGTGGCATGCAAATACCCGTGAGGCGAATCGTTCCATTTGGCTTACACGAACCTGTTCGTCAAGCGCTTCAACGAGTTAACGCCGACTATTGTGGCCCTTTCCTCGGCAAATACTATGCTTTGGTCATTATTGACGCATATTCACGTTGGCCTGACTAAGTATGCAAGTGCCGAATTCACTCAGCAAGCATTGGGGAAAGTGTTCAGCCATGAATGTGTATCAACTCTTTTGGTCACTGACAACGGCACACGTTTCACTGCAAAATTCCTCGAGGAATGGTTGAAGGGTCTTGGTTGTCGACATCTGTTTACTGCTCCGC